CTGCGGGGCTGAGGGCTCGGGCCCTGCTCGTCCCTCTCCTTCCTTCCAGCCCTCCTCCCTCACCCGTAAACCACCTCCCTGTGTAATTCATGCAGCTCTCCTCCTCTCGCTGTCTCTCTCTGCTGCTCAAGGTCACCTTCCTCGCCTGGGCTGGATTTTCACATATTGATTGCTTGGCTCTAACAGCCGACGTCTCAGTGAGCTCCCAATCTCACGCCAGCTCAGCATCTTGCCACTCGCTGGGAGAAGCGTCTCCATATGGGCCCCCTCCTCCTCCATCCTGCCCCCACGCGCTCCTCCCAGCCCCAGCCACGCATCGCTAACAGGCACCAAAACACAGACGGGAACGTCTTCGAGCCGTGGAGAAAAGCAGCCTTTTCCCTTCTCCGGGGTGGCTGCTCCTCTCCGTTATCTGGGGGGACAGGACCAGGAAGGGACAGGGGTGCCCTGCAGCCCCTCTCTGTGTCCTGGGGAGCCCTCTCTGTCCCCAACCTAGTACAGGAGAAGGAGAGGGGACAGAGCGTGGCATCCTTGCAGGGACTCGGCCCAGGGCTGCCTCTTTCCTCTCCCGTGCCCATTCCCCTTCCTGCTGCCCTGGCATTTTGCAGCCCACCTTCCTCGCCTGGGTTTCTCCTCTGCTCCCACACCACCAACATGGCTCAGCTGGGTCCAAATCATCTCCCTGTTGGCTTGTGGGGCAACCAGGGTGATCCCAGCCTGGCTGGGAGGGCAGAGCCCTTGGCTAACAAGCCTGTGGCCAGCACCTGGGGACATAGCTGTCCTCCTCCATCCTTTTCCTGCTCCTCTGCTACAGCTGCAGGGTTAGCGAGGGCTGGGCTAGGTGCAGGGCGGTGGTGCTGGGGTCAGATGTGAAACGGGCATCAGAGCCACAGAAGGAGCATTTCGGCCTTCTGGTGACCCAGCCCAGCTGGGACGAGGCCACAGAGAGCAACCAGATAACAGAGGTCTGCCTCATCCAGCCGTGTCTGTGCCGACCCAGCTCCTGGTGGCCTTGCCGTGGCGGCCCTGGCCCATGCCCAGGGGATTTACTGGCTAAATGTAAAATCAATGGCAGGATGGAAAAAGGCTGCTGAACTGTGGATGCTGACAAGCTCCTGGCCTCCTCCGGGCTAGAAATCACCCTTAAACGCTGCTGGGGAGGAAGCGCCGTGGCCCAGCTTGCTCAGCGAGCGAGGCACGGATGATAACAGCTTTATTTATAGCACTTAACTGGCTGTTGGCTCAAGGCACCGATTTGTGCTTAGCGTGCAATCGTTTAGGGCGGCTGTTTGTGCAGCTAATGCACAGCCCAAACGCGGCCCCTCCGAAGCCGTCAGCAAACGCCCGTCGCCCCGGCAGGACCTTGCCCTGGTTAGCCGCGGCCCGCTGGCTGTCCGCAGCCGCCGGAGCGGGACGCCGGGGGCCAGGCAATCCCGCGCTCATCCCAGTTTCTCTCTTTCTGCCTGTATTTGCACTGCATGGAGCAATCCTGATTGATCCTTTGGGCTCCTAGAGGTTATATGACCCTAATGCTAATAAGGCTAATTAATACCAGCCACCTGGGCTGGGCTGTGTTGCTTCTCAGCACCTCAGTTTGCAGATCTGTCCTTGGTTTTTGAAGGATGCCAGTGCCGGAGTGCTGGGATTCATTAAGTCGGAGCTGCAAGGGCTCTGAGGATGAAAACGCTGCTCATGAATTATCACGGGGGCGCAGACAGCTGCCCGGGACTCTCCGCAGAGGCTCAACAATGGGAAGAGAGGAAAAAATGTTTGTGCTTTTCCTCTCCCCCTTTTCCACTTCACCAGTGGAAGAGGAAAAACATAGCCGAAAGAAGAAAACACGTTTTCTCTTCCCTCTTCACAGCCCCCACCCTCAAATCATGGCTGTGTAATATATAAATAACTGGGGAAAAAACCGCCCCGGTCCTTGGAGCCGCCTGCAGCCGCAGGTCTCGGCCGCAGCCTTGCGAGGGGCCTGCCGGTGCCGGGGGTTTCCCAGCGCT